GTTTTGGAGGGTGGGCGTGGCTTAGGAGGGTTAGGGGTGGGGTTTATCGGGTGGGCGTGGCCTAAGGGGCAGTGGGTGTGGCTTAAACGGGGTGGGCGTGGCTTAAGAGGGTTTGGGGTGTGCTTTAATGGTGTGGGTGTGGCCTATCGGAGTTGTGGGCGGGGTTTAAGGGGGTGGGCGTGGCCTATGGGAGCTGTGAATTATGTTTGGTGGGCATGGCCTAAATGGGTCATGGGTGGGGTTTATTGGGGTGGGCGTGGTCTAAAGGCAGCTGTGGGCGGGGTTTATGGCGGTGGGCGTGGTCTAAGCAGCCCCTCCCCCTCCCCAGATCGCCTGCCTGAGGCGCCGGGGGGATGACGACGAGGATGAGGTGGGGGAGGGGCACCCAGTTCATCCCAGTCCCTCCCAGTTCCTCCCAGTAACCTCAAAACCCCATCCCAGTCCTTCCCAGTTCATCCCAGTTCCCTCCCAGCAACCCCAAATCCCCATCCCAGTTCTTCCCAGTTCATCCCAGTCCCTCCCAGTAACCCCAAATTCCCATCCCAGTTCCTCCCAGTTCATCCCAGTAACCCAAAATCCCCGTCCCAGTTCATCCCAGTTTCTCCCAGTCCCCTTCCAGTTCATCCCAGTCCCTCCCAGTAACCCCAAATCCCTATCCCAGTTCATCCCAGTTCATCCCAGTCAACCCCAAACCCCCATCCCAGTCCCTCCCAGTAACCCCAGTTCCCCCCAGACCTCCCAGCGCGCCGAGCTCCGCGAAGCCGCCTCCGATTGGCTGCCGGAACTGGGCGTGGCCATGGCCCGGGCGGGCGTGGCGGGAACCCAAACAGGAAATGACGTCAGCAATCCCGGAAGGGGCGTGGCTTTCCCGCCCCACCTCTTCCGCCGCATCCTCCCCTCCCTATTGGCTGCTTTGGCTGACCCCGCCCACCCGGGGGCGCGGTCGTGGGCGGGGGCTGTGATTGGCCAGCTCGGCCACGCCCTCGGCGCCGAGGCCACGCCCTTTTTACCCGATTTGGTTCCCGCCTTCCGATTGGCGGTCGGCGACGCCGACCCCGAGGTCAGGTCCAACGCCTTCTACGCCATTGGTCGGATCGGGGAGGCCCTGGGACACGCCCACCGCGAGTATCCACCAATCAGGGGAGGGGAAACCCCGCCCACATTCCCATATCGGGAGAAATCTGATTTGAATTTCCATATAAGGTTAAGCCCCGCCCCCATTTCCATTGCAAGGTTAAACCCCGCCCTCATCTCCATATAAGGTCAGCCCTCTCCTAAATTTGCACATTAAGCCCCGCCTACAGTCCTATGTATAGACAAACCCCACCCACATTCCCATATATGGATAAACCCCACCCACATTTCCATATCAGGTCAGACCTGCCATAAATTTGCATATAAGGTTAAGCCCCGCCCACATTCCCATATATGGATAGACCCCAATAACATTTCCATACAAAGGTAAGCCCCGCCCACATTCCCATATTAGGTGAAACCGCCCCCACATTCCCATATAAGGTCAAACCCCGCCCACATCCCCATATATGCATAAGCCCCACCCATATTTCCATATAAGGGCAAACCCCACCCACATCCCCATATAAGGCCAAGCCCCGCCCCATTTCCATATAAGGATAAGCCACACCCACATTTGCATATAAGGCAAAGCCCCGCCCATATTCCCATATAAGGATAAACCCTGCCCACATTCCAATATAAGGTGGAACCCCACCCACATTCCCATATAAAGCCCCACCCACATCCCCATATAAGGATAAGCCCCACCCACATCCCCATATAAGGATAAGCCCCACCCACATCCCCATATATGGATAAGCCCCACCCACATCCCCATATATGGATAAGCCCCACCCACATCCCCATATATGGATAAGCCCCACCCACATCCCCATATATGGACAAGCCCCACCCACATTCCCATATAATACCAAGCCCCGCCCCATTCCCATTTAAGACCAAGACCCCACCCACATCCCCATATATGGATAAGCCCCACCCACATTGCCATATAAGGATAAGCCCCGCCCACACTTCCCTATAATGCCAAGACCCACCCATTCCCATATAAGGATAAGCCCCGCCCATATTCCCATATAAGGATAAGCCCCACCCATATTCCCATATAAGGATAAGCCCCGCCCACA